GGAGAAGTCAGCAATGTGTTTCTCAGGACAGGTTTCCTTTAACTCCTTTTTTGTTGTTGTTATCATCTGCCTTTAATTCCCACATTTCCCACATTTCCATCTGGCTTCCTGAACACAGAAAAATCAGCGATATTTTATAGCAACTTTATAGCAATAAGCACAGAACAGATCCTCTGTGAGATAACGGTCTATTGTTTTCCACCACATAAAGCCATACCCAGCCTTCTTTTCATTGTGAAACCAATGTATCACTCACAGGAGCTTCACAGCCAACTACAAAACCAGAACAGTTGCTATCTTCTATTAAGTTCACTATAAATCAGGCCTGGCCCAGCATGATTTATAGAGTTCTTTCATTTCACTTATCTCTAACTAGGTTTCTGTGTTGTGAAGAGCGGCCAGCCAGAGGCACTATCTGCAGCCTGGAAATGTGAATTCAACTGAACAGGTTGTGAGAACAAATCATTGCTAAGACGAGCAAGAGCTTAATTACAATTCTAGTATTTGAACATTTAAACATCATCAGCAATTTACACAAATGGCTTTTCTGTCTGAAGGCTGAAATCTTCATTTGTTTCCGAACTTATTTAGCTTTCCATTCTCCCATCCTCAGTGATATGAAACAGCACTGAGAGATAACGCTATGAATAAACCATCCTCAGCCTTCCAATAAAAGCAGATTTACATTCCAAATAAACATAACTCATAGGCATCCTGGATAATAACATTTAAGGGAATGTCAAATGTTTTTAAATATATTTTCTTTATGTATTATGATGGGGGCTAATCAGTTTTTAGTCTTGTAAATATGAAATATTACATATGAATATTTCATATTTACTACTTACAGTTATTGAGCGACAAGTTGAGGCTTCATTTGCCACTTTACTGAAGGCTGTCTAACAGGAGCTTGAATTACATACACAACTGAATGACTCAAATGAAGGAAAATCTATTAGAGATGGGGAGGTCGGCTGAGACAGTCACAACACATGTGTAGGCTTAAAGTGATACTAAACTCAGAAGTTAATTCTTAAAAATACAGTCAAGTACCTTAACTATTAACAAAAATGTTGGAGTGGTGGTTACTTTACGAACACGCACAGGGACTATGGGGAACAAATGTAGCCACCCTTCAGAAGGATGATTTGAGGATCTACAGTTGAGTGATACACAAATAAGATACATTTGTGTTAATAGGGCACTTAAATTCATTTTTAAGATTTAACTTCCAAGTTTAGTGTCACTCTAAGACCAGCCTTTTCTACAGTGTCATAAAGGCACGCTGTAATATATGATTATTTATGCACAGAAATAAATAACAAAAACATGGCATTAAACATTAATCTCTAAACCTGTAACTGTACGGTTTTTAACACTGACCAAAAACCATTATGGTTTCCCTTATAAAAGTATAGATTACCAAAGGCTCACAAACATTTTGCCTTTTCATACTTTTGTGTTTTAAAACCACATGCACTTTTCGGTCTATCACAGATGCATTTTTGTTTTTCATGGAAAAGCCCTTTAAAGTATTAAAGGTCTAGACAGTCGCAGTGTGTACAGGAAAGAGCTTCCCAAGTTGCTGGCTGCCAAAAGGAAATCAAGGTTTTCAGCCAGGCAGTCCTGTGACAAAATTGCAGAAAACAGAGAAATGTTGTAATTTCCAATTTTATCAGACACAACGTAGCCTGGCCCAGATTTTCAGTTTCCACCGGCAACTATGGACAGACATTTTTAGCAACTGAAATTTGCAAAAGCGAACGGAAAATGTTCTTAAGTTCATTTTAAAAAACAAACTGTCAGCAGATCTATGAATAATCTTTCATTGAAATTGAATTATTATTAGCAGTAAATTACAATACAATTAATTTTGAAACCAATGAGAATTAAAAAAACTCCCCCGAAAAGCAGTGAAACATTCTTAGTTTTTTTTTTTAAAGCAGCACAGGAAATGTAATGTGTTTGAAAATGTGAATAAATAGATTTTTGCATCTCAGGACAGCTCTTGCAATTATTTTGAAAAGGACATGTGGTATAGAACTGTAAAGTGTTAAATCACTAAAAACTAAACCTTTTGCAAAAAAGTTAATGAAATGGAAGAGCCTTTAACATTATGCATGGGATCTTTTATGTATCCTTTTTGTAAACTTACAGAGAGGGATTTATCAGAACTGGGGCAGGAAAAATCTGGAGCAGCTCTGTGTGGCAACCAATCGGCTTCTATCTTTCATTTACAAATCCTAACTGAACAAACTAACAAGAGAAGCTGATTGGTTGCCATAGACAACTGCTCCAGATTCTGTCTGCTCCAGTTTTGAAAAATTCCCCCAACAATGTTTTAATCCAAAATCATTGTGCTATGCGCAGCACTGCAGCTCGCTGTGCTGATCTGTTTATTGCATGACACAGGTACATGAAGATCACCAATTGGCTACATGAGCAGAGGAAGACCAGAATAATAATAGCAATTAAGCTAGCGTCCTGGAGCGTTGTGGGTCAACATCAGTGTGTACTCCAGTGGGAGCACACATCATAGGTTGACAATGCTCTTGCACAGACCATCACCACAGTAAAAGGCAACTTTGCCACCCTAGAAGTGGGAGGCTTTATACTGGCAGGAACTCCACATAAAAACTGAATTAAAAAGTCTGCAATGGAAAAGGAGAATCTCACAGGGAAAAGAGGGGGGTACATTTTTATTTTAGGTTTACATACACTTTAAGTACACTTGCATCAATAATGGGATTTTAAGATATAGTGCTCCTTAGACTGCGCCCAGAGTGCATCAGTACCATTAACTCAATGTTCATCGAATTCTGCTCTGAAAATAGCAAGCACCAGACGTAGAGAGTATATGGACCTGCATCACAGAGATAACAATGCCACTGCACACCAGTCCCAGTTTTAGGACAGCTGGATCTTGGAAAGGACAGCATGGAGGTAGGATAATTAAACTTACCTCCCACTGTAATTTTTTAGATATAATTGCTTGAGCTTTCCTTTAACACTTTAACCCATACAAACCCAGCTTATTTTTCATCTCACCATTTCAAGATCCGGGGAAACCTGACGCTTGCGCAATTCCTCCATTCTTTCACACACGTCTGTGAAGCAAGTGTTGTAGTAATCAGCGTACTGCTCTGCGAGGTCGTCAATGTTTCCAAGTGAACCATCCTACAAACAAATAAAGAAGAACACAGGGTCAGTGAGTGTCATTTAAACCCAGTGAACTAAATATTACATTAGATTTCTTTGCCAAAAAAACATTTTTGTAAGTGGAACCCCCAACAAAGGCTTCCTGACACAGAGCTGTAAATGGAAACTTCTTTCAATCATTATAATATGCACAAAGTCAGCCACAAACACAACCCTTTAAAAGATTAATCAATAATGATCTATAATCAGAATAGTTGTCAACTATTCTGATTATCGATTAGTTGGTTGGATCCCCCAGCTCTCTCCTCAACGCTGGGAGGAGGGCACAATAAGCAGTAAGCAGGCGCAATAGCCAGCCTGCTATTGCAATTTGAAATAGCCAATAGCAGGCTGGCTATTGCACCAGCCCACTACCTGCTGTATTTACATTCAGCTGCCATCTGCAGAATCCTACCACTGGCAGCTGTCATTCCCTGGCTAAAGCTATGCAAGCGCCATTTTGCTTAGAATACAATTATTTAAAAAAATTATAAGTGGGGAAAAAAGTAAATTTTCTGTTTTGGCCTTACCAATTTTGCAGCGGGAGGTGCTTTGCAGTGCCATTCATTCTATGGCACCCCAAACGCGCCTCCCACCTACAGTGTTTTTGCCCGCACTGAAACGCATGGCACCGCAATGCTGTGCGTTCCAGTGTAGTGCGATTGCAAAAAACTGAGCATGCAGTTTTATTCTGAGGTAAACTTTATGTTTGTAACACTCCATTTGTGTATTTCGTTTTAAATTAAGGATGGTATTTACTTAATTTTTTTTATCCGATTAATCGAAAAAAATATTCATCCAACTAATTGAATATGAAAATAATCTTTAGTTGCAGCACTAACAAAGTATTAAAGCCATCGGATCACTAGAATAACAGTAAGATAACTAACATTCTCATAAAGAGAGATCAGCGATGACAGCACACAGCTCTCTTAGTACAACTCCAGGCAGATATAAAAGATCAGTATTTAATCCAGTTATGATTTCATTAACAGCATCATTAAACATATTTAGGTCCAGACATCATATGTATTCTGTACCATGTCTGTAGTCTCTTTCATCTCCTGTAGCATGCCCTTTGTCTTTAACCATCTCTTGCATTACATTCAACATTATGTGTGGCCCTTTGGAGATATCAGGGGCCCCTTTTTTCAAAAAGGTTGCTCATCACAGGTCTAGATGGGCTTCAGTCAGCCAAGCTATGAAAACGTATATATAAAGCCAAAACTTTGTTTTCAATATAGATAGAGTAGGGAATGGTTATAACTAGGGATGCACCGATATATCAGCCGCTGAAACATATCGGCCGAAAATGTAACTTTTGGCATAATGCCGAAAGAGCCATGTTTCGGCCGATACATCGGCGCATCCCTGGTTTCTTTCCTCCCCGCTGGGCGCTGCTCTGTGTTCCTGCGGGGAGAAAAGAAATGACAGCCGGCCGAGCGCTGCAGGACGAGAGCACTGTGAGCGGCCGGCGTCTCTCCTCCCCCACCGCTCGACCGCCTATCACAGCCCGGCAGAGCGGTGTGTGGGCGGAGACAGCCAGCGCTGTCACAGGAGACTGAGCTCACCTCCCTGCTCCACTCGATCAGCCTTAGACGTAGAGAGTATATGGACCTGCATCACAGAGATAACAATGCCACTGCACACCAGTCCCAGTTTTAGGACAGCTGGATCTTGGAAAGGACAGCATGGAGGTAGGATAATTAAACTTACCTCCCACTGTAATTTTTTAGATATAATTGCTTGAGCTTTCCTTTAACACTTTAACCCATACAAACCCAGCTTATTTTTCATCTCACCATTTCAAGATCCGGGGAAACCTGACGCTTGCGCAATTCCTCCATTCTTTCACACACGTCTGTGAAGCAAGTGTTGTAGTAATCAGCGTACTGCTCTGCGAGGTCGTCAATGTTTCCAAGTGAACCATCCTACAAACAAATAAAGAAGAACACAGGGTCAGTGAGTGTCATTTAAACCCAGTGAACTAAATATTACATTAGATTTCTTTGCCAAAAAAACATTTTTGTAAGTGGAACCCCCAACAAAGGCTTCCTGACACAGAGCTGTAAATGGAAACTTCTTTCAATCATTATAATATGCACAAAGTCAGCCACAAACACAACCCTTTAAAAGATTAATCAATAATGATCTATAATCAGAATAGTTGTCAACTATTCTGATTATCGATTAGTTGGTTGGATCCCCCAGCTCTCTCCTCAACGCTGGGAGGAGGGCACAATAAGCAGTAAGCAGGCGCAATAGCCAGCCTGCTATTGCAATTTGAAATAGCCAATAGCAGGCTGGCTATTGCACCAGCCCACTACCTGCTGTATTTACATTCAGCTGCCATCTGCAGAATCCTACCACTGGCAGCTGTCATTCCCTGGCTAAAGCTATGCAAGCGCCATTTTGCTTAGAATACAATTATTTAAAAAAATTATAAGTGGGGAAAAAAGTAAATTTTCTGTTTTGGCCTTACCAATTTTGCAGCGGGAGGTGCTTTGCAGTGCCATTCATTCTATGGCACCCCAAACGCGCCTCCCACCTACAGTGTTTTTGCCCGCACTGAAACGCATGGCACCGCAATGCTGTGCGTTCCAGTGTAGTGCGATTGCAAAAAACTGAGCATGCAGTTTTATTCTGAGGTAAACTTTATGTTTGTAACACTCCATTTGTGTATTTCGTTTTAAATTAAGGATGGTATTTACTTAATTTTTTTTATCCGATTAATCGAAAAAAATATTCATCCAACTAATTGAATATGAAAATAATCTTTAGTTGCAGCACTAACAAAGTATTAAAGCCATCGGATCACTAGAATAACAGTAAGATAACTAACATTCTCATAAAGAGAGATCAGCGATGACAGCACACAGCTCTCTTAGTACAACTCCAGGCAGATATAAAAGATCAGTATTTAATCCAGTTATGATTTCATTAACAGCATCATTAAACATATTTAGGTCCAGACATCATATGTATTCTGTACCATGTCTGTAGTCTCTTTCATCTCCTGTAGCATGCCCTTTGTCTTTAACCATCTCTTGCATTACATTCAACATTATGTGTGGCCCTTTGGAGATATCAGGGGCCCCTTTTTTCAAAAAGGTTGCTCATCACAGGTCTAGATGGGCTTCAGTCAGCCAAGCTATGAAAACGTATATATAAAGCCAAAACTTTGTTTTCAATATAGATAGAGTAGGGAATGGTTATAACTAGGGATGCACCGATATATCAGCCGCTGAAACATATCGGCCGAAAATGTAACTTTTGGCATAATGCCGAAAGAGCCATGTTTCGGCCGATACATCGGCGCATCCCTGGTTTCTTTCCTCCCCGCTGGGCGCTGCTCTGTGTTCCTGCGGGGAGAAAAGAAATGACAGCCGGCCGAGCGCTGCAGGACGAGAGCACTGTGAGCGGCCGGCGTCTCTCCTCCCCCACCGCTCGACCGCCTATCACAGCCCGGCAGAGCGGTGTGTGGGCGGAGACAGCCAGCGCTGTCACAGGAGACTGAGCTCACCTCCCTGCTCCACTCGATCAGCCTCCTGTGACAGCGTGTCAGAGAGGAGAGCAAGCACAAACACTCAGCGATCATTGATCGCTGAGTGTTTGTAGATAATTGAGGACATGGTATGTTAACTATATCCTCAATTATGAATGAATGGGAGTGATCTGCATCTACTCATGATCATTCATAGTTGTAGGTATAATAAACATACCATGTCCTCATGTTATCAATGAACAGGAACACTCATTCCTGTTCATTGATAACAGGGGATACAGAAAAAGAGATAGATGACTTTGTGTCCTAAATCTCTTTTTCTATTTTAAAAAGGGAAACATCAGGGGTCTGTTTAGACTCCCAATATTTCCCCTAAGTCCCTAAAAGCAATGTAAAAAATAAAAATATTTAATAAAAAATGAATATAAATTTTTTTTAAAGTTTATAAAAAATAAAAGATTAAAAAGATTAGAAAAATTAAAATAAAAAAACATTTTCGGTATCGGTCTGACAATTTTTTATTTCGGTTTTGTTTCGGTTTTAAAAATTCCATTCCGGTGCACCTCTAGTTATAACTAGGGATGTCCTGATACTGATACTAGCATCGGTATCGGGACCGATACAGGGCATTTTCACAAGTACTTGTGAAAATGCCCGATACATCGCGCCAATGCTTGCGCTATGTTTTTTTTTTTGTATCTTCAGGCTGCCCAGAGGTCCCGCGCGTGTTGGGGTCCTCTGGGCAG